GCGCCTAGGGCGGCCGCGGCGGCGGTGAGTATCTGGAAGGCGCCGCCATGGGGCTCCGTAAGAAGGGCTCCAAGAACCCCCCGGTCCTGAGCCACGAATTCATCCTGCAGAACCATGCGGACATGGTGTCCTGCGTGGGGATGTTCTTCGTGCTGGGGCTGATGTTCGAGGGCACCGCCGAGGTGTCCATCGTCTTCCTGACGCCTAGGGCGGCCGCGGCGGCGGTGAGTATCTGGAAGGCGCCGCCATGGGGCTCCGTAAGAAGGGCTCCAAGAACCCCCCGGTCCTGAGCCACGAATTCATCCTGCAGAACCATGCGGACATGGTGTCCTGCGTGGGGATGTTCTTCGTGCTGGGGCTGATGTTCGAGGGCACCGCCGAGGTGTCCATCGTCTTCCTGACCCTGCAACACGGTGCCGTCGTCCCCGCGGGAGAAGGCGCGGCCAGGGGCACCCGGACCCTGTACCACTACGGGGTCAAGGACTTGGCCACCGTGTTCTTCTACACGCTGGTGGCCATCATCGTCCACGCCTCCATCCAGGAGTACGTGCTGGATAAGATCAGCAAAAGGATGCAGTTCACCAAAGCGAGGCAAAACAAGCTAAACGAGTCCGGGCAGTTGAGTGTGTTCTACGTGGTGTCCTGCATCTGGGGAACCCTCATCCTCATCTCAGAGAACTGCCTGGCAGACCCAACCCTCCTGTGGAGGGCTCATCCCCATAACCTGATGACCTTCCAGATGAAGTTCTTCTATATATCACAGTTGGCTTACTGGTTTCATGGTTTTCCGGAGCTCTACTTTCAGAAAATCAAAAAACAAGATATCCCTGGTCAAGTCATATACATTGGTCTTCACCTCTTCCACATTTCTGGAGCTTATCTTCTGTACTTAAATCACCTGGGACTCCTTCTTCTGGTGCTGCACTATTTTGTTGAACTACTTTCTCACCTGTGCGGCCTGTTTTATTTTAGTGATGAAAAGTACCAGAAAGGGGCTTCTGTGTGGGCCCTTGTGTTTATTTCAGGGAGACTTGTGACTTTAATTGTTTCCGTAGTCACTGTTGGATTTCATCTGGCCGGATCACAGACTCGGAATACTACGGATGCTGTTACTGGGAACGTAAATGTATTGGCCGCTAAAATCGCTGTTCTATCTTCCAGTTGCTCAATCCAAGTGTATATAACATGGACTTTGATTACCGTCCGAGTTCAGAGGTGGGTGGAAGATTCTCTCCAAGCGTCAAATGTGAAGAAGAAACGATGCACGAGTAAAGGAAAGTCTAGAAAAAGAACAGAAAATGGAATGGAGACTTCAAATAGAGTAGACTCTCCCCCAAAGAAGAAAGATAAATTTTCATGACGAATCACAAGCAAACTGATCAGTGTCTCCAAAGGAATTGGCTCTTTAATATCAGATGTCTCTGTGCTAGAGATCTGTTTTCCAGAATAGTTTGTGCTCTTTGATTATAGCTATTGTCCTGTTTAATGTATTTTTTAAGGTATTTGAGGGGAGGGTGGTTATTACAAGTGAAAAAAAGTTTTGTTTAAGAGTAAGCTATTCATCAAAATGATGTCAAAATACCATATTTTGTTTGACTTTTTAATTTTGTAATGATTTATGGAGATGAGTATAAATTGTTCACTTGTCAGTGGTACAATTTCTTATTACCACTAATTTTAATGATATTGACAGTATCATCAAATTAATGATTTGTTATATCAATTTCATATTTTAATGTTCTTTCGCGATGAAATGGAAAAAATCTCAGTGGAAGTCGTCAGTATTCTTTAGTTTTTATTTATTTTTCTTAGACTTTATAACTGAAAAGCATTTGTAAAACCACAAAATAATCCTGTATTTTATTTGATGGGTAGTAGGGCTACATTCCCGTTGAACGGTTAAAATAGGTAACATATATAGAGATTTATACATTATGCCATATATATCAAATCAAGATAGTATAGAAGTATTACTCGAGAGTTAATTCCCATCTATTTAAAATACTTGTAAAAGGATACTCATCAATTAAATATTATTGAAAAATGAATAAAAGTCTTTTAAATATTTTATTAAAATAATTGGAATGATTCATAATTTGATAACCATAACATCTTAGAAAAATTTTGTTGAATCTGTAAAACATTTTGAAAATTAATGTTTGATTTATATGTATAAAAATAGGAACAGCTAATTGGCATTTGGAAAACAGTAAATGCATTAAACAAATACTTAAAAAATCAGGTGCATAGTCTTATGAAAGACTCTTTAAAGATGTTATAGTTTTGCTTCCCACTTTAATTGGGAAACATTTACTTGTATGATTATTGTGATTATTTATATATGTATATAATTTTTATCTACAGAAGCCCATAGCAACAATATAGAGGGTGAATTTATTTGTCCTCTCAATATGCATTTTAATTCATTTTTATATTTTGCTTATATATATTTTTTCAAGGTTATAGTATATTAAAATATGCTAGGGTAACATCACACATTTCCTGTACCTCTATATTTTCTGATAGTATTTCTCTCTTCTTGTCACTTTTGGTAACCTTTTTATAGGAATCTTTTAAATAATTTAACTTTCCCAGACAGTAAGATTTCTGAAAATTAAATTTGGTATATTTATATCACAGATCATAGAAAAGCAGGTCTTGAAAATTTTTCTATTGTTCTCTTTCCAAGGTAATTAACAAAATAAGATTTTTTTTTCTATTTTGGCTATAAAATCCATTGGTCTACCTCTTTTTAAATCGCCTAGCACTGTAATATTGGTAGCACAACGGAATATAACTTACATATAAACTACCTGGTGGGCAACTATAGAACAAACATCACCTTTTCATATAACTGGGAACACTTTTTCACCTCCTTCGCTTTTAAAGAATCCTGCCTTGTTATTTATAACCCCACTCCTGGTAATACATGTCTTAAATGTTAGTTCATTTGCAAATATGAACAGCCCTGACTCAGACTGGCAAAAAATTGCAGGAAAATTGTTTTCTTACATAATTAACAATGCTAAAGGTTAAATTGGGCTTGCCAAAAATATTAGTAACTGAAGATTGATTTCAATGTTTGCTTTGCTCTGTCCTGAGATTAACTTTCTATATGTCATCAATGATTATAGTTCTTTACGTTTCATTTCTCAATACTCCTTCCTTTGTAAAGAGGGAGTGAAAAAAATTGACTTTTGAAATTTCCATAGGCAAACTCACTTGATAAAAGAACATAGTGCATTAAGTTAGATTGTATGCTCCATCGGTGAAAAAAGATGAAGTTTATTTTAAAAGATCATAAGAAGTTGTAAAGTTATTCAGAAGGAAAGAAAAAGAATAGTACTAGCCACTGTCAGCTATGTATAATTTCAGTGAATATTACTATAAAATAAATCTTTACCAAATAAATTATGAAAGCAACATTACAAATGAAATGTAGCTCACTACAAAAGATGAAGTCTCTCTTTAAATAATACATTCTTTAAAATGAAATTCATGCCAAAAGTTGCAGCATGATTACTTGCTCACTGCCAAAGTAGACCATATAGAGAAATAAATCTCCATTAAGATTCCAGGCTCATATAACCTGAGTTAACACTATAAAAGCTCAAGTAACTACTTCATCACCAAGGCCATAAAAGTCTCAGAGATGTGTCTGTTTCAATTTACGGGTTGTGCTTTGATTTATTAGCATCAACAGTTGTCAAATTTTATTCCTTAAATGAGACTATAATGTATGTGTTAACTAGGGTGGATTCAAAGTATATTTTTCTATGAAAAACATGATTCAACTACCATTTAATTATATATTCCTTTTCAATGAATAATATGGGTATGCAATTCAACCTAAATATCTTGTAAGGAGTGACAGTCTTTAGGCCTTGTTTCCTAGGGATGAGTATAAATCATTTTATGTCACTAGTGACATATAACCTTGTTAATATTGCTTATTTATCTGTCATCATTTTTTGTTTATTTGTAGGGGAACCACGTTCAGCCAGTACAACCTATTTTTGTTGGAATAGATTCAAGATTTACATTTTCACATCAATAATTTAACATTATTAACAATTATTAACAATTAACAATTATTAACAAAGTAACAAAGTAATGATGTGTATGTCTTTCAGTCATCAATAAATGATTTGACTACTCAATAATTTAAGCAAAATAACAATTTTAAATAAAAAGAAAAAGTCCATGAGATGAAAATGAAAAAGGCTTAATTTGAGTACTACTAGCACCATTCACCAAGTGAAATCAAGTTAGTGTGCAAAATCTCATGGTTGAGGAGATTCTCAAGTTCTCAAAGTTTCAACACAAACATTGAAATATAATTTTTAAACTTTATATGATTGTTAAAGATATCTCCAGTCTCACTGATATAAATTCAGCAGAGAAATTCAGTGTTATGATTACAAATAATGATAAAAAATGAGGTCAGGGTCAGTCCCCTGCCGTGGTCTTAGAGGAATATTTTCAGTGCTGTTTTATAAGCCACCAAATCGACAAAGATACTTTCCTGTATCAAGAAATTTCTCTAAGATAGAATTATATACATGTATGATGTGTAGTTTTTTCAAGTACGTGTGTGTCTAGAAACTTTTTTTCATATTCTTAGTGCACACATGTAATCCTGTACTCCGAAGCAAGAAGCAGAAAGATTGCCTTGAGGTCCAGGCCAGCCTGAACTACATAGAAAGGCCAGCCTGAACTACAGAGCAAAATTTCGTCTCAAAACAATACAATCATAAACAAATAAATATATTCATTCCATATATGTATAGTTCCAATACACCACTTAATAATTATGCATATGAGTCTATGCTCATGTATGCATGTATCCATGTGCACATATGTATGCATATTTATAGGGTTTTTTTCCTTATATACTAATAGACTTTAATTTGAGTTTTAGGGCAATTTTAGGTACACAGTACATTTTAGGGGACATCACTGAAACTTCACATTTCATCCTCACTCCATATTAGCAACATTTGCTACTACCTTGATGCATTTGTGACAACCAATGAATTGGGCCCATCACTAACCCTCAACAGTCCATATTAAGATTGATTTGAGGTGCTCTACGTTGTATGCATTTTGACATGTATAATGGCATGTACTCACAATTGTAGTATCATACAGAGCTCTTTCACTGCCTTAAAATCCCTGTGCTCAATCTTTTCATATTTCCCTACCTTTTAGACTTTCAAGCACTATAAAAAGTATGGAATTGATGTTTCCCTCATTTCTAGGTAGGAGGCAACAGAAAATTTGGGTGCAGTGAGCGAGTGTCATGTGTGAAATTTATAGCTAATTTAAATTAAAGATACATAAGCACAGTTAAATGTATATAAATACTCCTGTAAATACAGAATATGTGATATATTTTTATACATAAATTACAGAGAACACAGTCATCAACAAATATAATATTTAAGCCAAACCTTTGAACAAAGTAATCTAAGAAGCAGATACACATGTGGAAAAGAAGAAAGTTCACTCCTTAGCCTTAGAGCATTCCAACTTATAGAAATCAAGCAGAGGAAGAAAAGCCAACAAGGAAAAGTCACCACATGGTTGAGATGGCAGAAGAAAGACCCAAAGAGCAAAAATACTTGGCATTGCAGTTTGTAAACCTCAGTGATGACTGATAAGGTAGGCCAAATAAATAAATAAATAAATAGGTAAAGTCACAGAAACTTAAGATAAAAGGAGCATGGAATATAAATTACAATTAATACTACTGAGACTTCATTAAGATTAGCTTGAAAAGGTTAGATTTGGCACTAAGGAGATACTGTGGAGTTAATTTCTTTGGGGTGACAGGAATGAGAACCCTATTGATACATACTGAGAGAAAACGTTGGGATATGTCATGTGATACTTCAAATAAGTGTTCCAGAAATGTCTCCATCAACTGAAGCAGAAAAATAGAAGAAACAGGCTTCCTTTATGTAGCAAAAATGGATATGTAGGCAAAGAGGTTGTTACTGTGGTATTATAAATTTTTAGGTTAGAAGGATTAGATAATATATGTATATTTGCATACTAAAGTGTTGACACAGAGAAGAGAGATGACAATGGATGACAACAAACTCACATGTTAGAAGTCCTCTGAAAAATGTACAAATGACAGAAATTGCCAATTTGAAAGTAGCCTTTTCTTAATTATTTGAAATAAATCAGGTTTGCACAGTGTTCAACAGCTTTCAGAAAATCTGTACACAAAAGTTTTGAAATCATGTATATTTCAGATATACAGATATAAAGATGCCATATATGTCATTTTATGTTTTATTATAGTTAACACTATTAAAATCCAAGCAAAATTAATAGTTCATAATATAAAATATTTGAGAGGATGGCATTAATTGACCCTTGTTCATTTTTGTTGAGCTTTGCTTTTCAGAAAAAGTTAAAATCCAATGAAAGATGAGAAACACCAAAGTTTTGCAATTTGTTTCTTTGGTTATTGTACTGACAAACATTTGTATCATGGTGCAGGGTTCAGGAGGATGTCTCTGTCAATCCTTTAAAGACATTGGCAATACAGGATAATCCAAAGAATAGCAAGTTGCTATTTAAGTCTTCAAAGGTGTTTGAAAGTATAATTTATTCAACTAAGCAAAAGTAAAGTCTCACTATGTATTTCAGGTTGGACTGAAACTCACTTTACAGACCTGGCTGGCCTCAAATTCATGATCTTCCTGCCTCAGACTCGAGAGTGCTAGGATTACAGACATGCACAGTCATGCTTTGCTCATAGGATTGCTTCAGATGCGAAATAATCCTTCCTGATTCTTTCTTATAATGAAGCATGCATCAATTCCACTCAACCATAAACTTGGGTCACATTTTAAGATTTTAAAGTTTAAATTGTTAAAACCACAAGTGTAGCATTACATAAATTCAATCATCTTGTTTGAGTGATTGGGTATTTGCAATGAGGTTCTAGCAATCAACCACCAGATATTACCTGTATCATTACTAAAAACTAGTTTAATCCAAGTAATTGCATATTCAGAACTTATT